GTTATGGACAGTCATTAGCCACCATGTGGGTGCTAGAAATTGAACCCAGGTCCTCTGCAAGAGCAGCCAGTGCTTTTAACTGCTGAGCCACCTCTCCAGTCCCTTGTGGGTTTTTTTGTTGTTGTTGTTGTGTTGTTGTTGTTGTTTTGTTTTGTTTGAGACAGGTCTTAACCATGTAGCTCTGGCTGGCCTACAACTCACTGTGTAGACCAGGCTAGCCTAGAACTCAAAGATCTGCCAGCTTTTACCTCCTGAGTGCTGAGACTAAAGGTGTGCACCACCATGCCTAAGAATTCTTTTTTTTTCTATTTTGAGTCACTATATAGTAAATATGACTATTGTTTATTCAGTGAGATGATGTTATATCTGGTAAACATTTTCTAGAACGCATGTTTGAATTTTCTTCTGTACGGCAAAACGAGAAAAACAAGTAATAAAGATGCCTTGAGAGTTCTGTCCTGCTTGCAGTTGTGAGCAACACCTGTGTCCCGTGAGGACCAGAGGATGGTTTTATGGAGGCCTTCCCATCACAGAGATGGGCTGCAGTGGGAGCCCCCAAAACTCCTCCCTGGTCAACTGGTCCTGGCCAACTGGTGTGACTTATGGGAGCTTTATTCTGTCCTCATCTGTACCCCGGGGTAGTGAGACTGCCAGCCTCACAGAGCTGTGGACTAAGCAGGAGAAAGGAAATGTTTGTTACCCGCTTGGCCTGGCAGCTCACACACCTCAGGGTGTGTTAGCTGTGTTGTAGGCTTTAGAGTCCTGGGTGCAATATAATGTATGTGTTCCAGCTTGGGGCCAAGAAAGGAAGCCTGGGAGCCCAGAAGCTGACACGTACCTCCTTCACCGAGATGGAAAAGCAAGCACAAGCTGTGGACAAGAGGAAAGAGCAGGAGGACCTGGCCAGGGCGGTGCCTAAGGAGGAGTCCGTGTGAGTTTCATTTCCTGCATCTGACACCCTCAGGGAGCAAAGGTGTTTTGTCCACAGCTCATTTGATTTCTGCCTGTGGGTATTTTTGGTGAGGGTGGGGGGCAGTATGAGGTATAGCTTCTTAAAGGCTCATATTGCACTGGCATGTGGGTTGGGAGGGAAAGACGGGGCTCTCAGGGGAGCTGTGGGGCAGGAAGGAGATATAGGGGCACATAGGTACGGATTTACACTGGAGAGGTGCTCAGCGTCCACAGTTTCAGGAAGACGCAGATCTAATTCATGTGAGATGCCAGGTCTTACCCATGAAGGCAGCTGCAGGAGAAAAGACAGGTGAGGGCCCAGGGCCCTCACGGCATGCATGAGAGTGTGCAGTCAGACCCCAGTCCCAAAGAAGGCCAGTGGGCATGAGGCTAGGATGTGGGGCGATGTAGTTTTGTTGACAGCAGTGGAAGCCGTCTGAGGCTGGGCTGTAGCTGGATGGTGGAGTCCTTGCCTAGCATGGATGAGACCCGAGGTTCAGTCCCCAGCACCTCCTAGAAGAACTCCAACTGATGGTCCTTCCAACAGTTCAGTGTAGGGCCGGGCAGTAACTCCATGGTAGAGTGGTGCTGATCATGCATGAAGCCCTCTTTCAAAAGCCCAGCGCGCACACAAGGTAAACGTACAGTCAGCACATGATGCAGCAGTTCCGTTCCTCAGTGTGTACTTGGGAAATGAAAGCGCGCCCCACACAGAGCTGTATGTGAGCACACAGCCTAAAATCCTAGTAGACCCAGAGCAGAAGCAGCCCAAAGGCTGTCTCCTGGTGCAGAACAAATGTGGTGTCCACACAGCGCCATTCCTTCGGGCTATGGAAAGAATGAGTGCATGGATGCACCTTGAAAGCTTGTGCCAAGAAAGGAACCAGTACAAAGCACTGCACCCGGTGTGAGTCCATAGACAGGACTGTCCACCAGGCACATCTGGAGATGGCGGCCCAGGAGGGAAGAGGGCCTGTGGACCACCTTGGAAGGGGAAGGCCAGAGAGCCCTGTCTTCGTGGTACCTCTTGTTTCCTGCGTACTTTGTGTGCCCCAGCTGCTGCTGCTGTACACTGTATAATGGAAGAAGTGCCCATTACATGGCTATTTTAAGGAGCAGCTTAGCTGATGTTCCTTGAGCTCTCCAGTAATACCTGGCGTATCATTGTGACTGTCTGCGCTAACAGTTTGTTGAGTGGAACGTAGAGGCTTGGCCAGGATCATTTGAGATTGTGGCTCCTCTCCCTATTCAGCCCTCAGAGTGCAGGGGGCAGCACTGACCTGCGTGGACAGGCTTTTTCTAAAACGAACATAAACTGTCAGACTTGGGTTTCTTGCTGGTTTCTGGTATGGCCAAAGAGACAGGGTGGCTCATCTCTCTTGGAGTAGCGCCTTCCACCCAGCTGAGGCTTGAATAAAACCTGCGGAGCCAGGTGTGGTAGCGCATGCCTTTAATCCCAGCACTTTCGAGGCAGAGGCAGGCAGATCTCTGTGAATTCAAGGCCAGCCTGGTCTACATAGCAAGTTCCCGGCCAGCTGGAGCTACATACAGGGAGACCCTGTCTCAAAAAGACCAAAAAAGAAAAAGCAGAGATGAGGGCTGAGCTCAGGGCAGAGAGGGCCTTGCTGAGTGTGTGGTTTGGAAACCCTGGCGGTCAGTCCCCACTATTGAGGGGAGAGGGGCAGAAATGCAGGGAACCCAGTTTGGCAACTTTGTTGCCTTGGTTCATGACTCCCACATCCCTGAGTACCTGTCACTGCTGCACAGGCCTGTCTCACCTGTGTCCCAAACCAGCACTGTGAGGGTTACCCTGCAGGCTGTTTCTAGTGGCTGTGAATAGTTAACAGTAGGCGAGTGGCAGTGTCAGTGTCATCAGCATAGACTATGAAGCTAAATGACATGCGTGGGGTCCCGCCCTGGCCCTTTGTACCATCTGTGTGCACAGTTGGCAGGGAGGGTGGGAGCTGCTGGCTTTCTGGAACATCCTGTCAGTGGCCCTCAGGGACCCTCCTGCGTTTTCTAGTTCTTCTCACCCATTCAGCCCCCAGGAGAATCTGCTGCTGCACTTTGATCAGCCAGTGATTTTAAAGATACCTAGTGTTTCCTCCTTGACTGGCTGAGGAAGACGATGGCCCTTGCTTGTTCTGTGGTAGTAATGTTAGAGAAAAAGACCACTGCTGGTGTGTTGCCTTTAAAAAGTATTTATTCAAGGGCTGGAGAGATGGCTCGGTGGTTAAGAGCACTGGCTGCTCTTCCAGAGGACCTGAATTCAGTTCCCAGCACCCATGTGGTGGCTAACCGTGTATAACTCCAATTCCAGGGGGATCTGATGCCCTCATGGGCATTGCACAACATGGGTGTACTTACATAAATGCAGGCAAAACAGTCATACACATAAAATAAATTTTAAAATTTTCTATTTATTTTTAAATTTTCTGTGTACAAGTGTTTGCCTACATGTATGTGCCACATACATGCAGTGCCAAAGGAGGCCAGAGGAGCTCCTGGAACTGGAGTTGCAGACAATTGTGAACTGCTGATGTGGGTACTAGGAAGCAGACCGGGGTTCTCTGTAAGAGTAGTGAGTGCTCTTAACACCGAGCCCTGGCGAGCTGCTTTTCATGGCACGTGAAGCGGTGCCGCATGCCAGGCTGCAGTTGTCCCTGCTCATTAGAGGCATTGCTTTCTTTATGAAAGCTTCAGTGTCTGGAAACCGGGGAGCAAGGACAGAGTTCTGTCCATCTCCTAACCCCTTTGGTGCATCGTTTGATAAACAGAGGATCAGCTAAGAAACTGTGGCTGGGGCCAGCGAAGTGGCTCAGTGGGTAAAGGTGTCTGCCGTGCAAGCCTGGTGACCTGAGGTTGTCCCAATGACCCGACCATCTCCACAAAATTGGCCTTTGACTTCCACACATACACCATGGCATGCACCCGCAGTAGTAGTAGAAGTAATAACAATAGTAATTTTTTAAAGGTAGAAATTGCTGGGTATTCTGGCGCACACCGTTAATCCCAGCACTCAGCAGACAGAGGCAGGTGGATCTCTGTGCATTCCAGGACAGCCTGGTCTATGTAGTGAGTTTCTAGCCAGCCATAGCTGCATAGTGAGACCCTGTCTCAAAAAATAAAATAAAATAAAAAGTGAAAAAGGTAGAAACCGGGGCTGGAGAGATGATTCAGTGTTTAAGAACACTGGCTGTTCTTGCAGAAGACCCGGGTTCAAATCCTAGTACCACATGGCAGCTAACGACTGTCCATAACTCCAGTTCCAGGGAATCTGACGGCCTCGTCTGTCCTCTGCGGGCATTGCACGACACGGGTGCACTTACCTACATGTAGACAATACACGCATACACATAAAATAAAAATAATAAATAAAATATTTAAAGTACTGGGGCTGGAGAGATGGCTCAGTGATTAAGAACACTGGTTGTTCTTGCAGAGGACCCGGGTTCGAATCCCAGCACCCCCAGCTAACAACTGTCCGTAACTCCAGTTCCAGGGGATCTGACAAGCCCCTTCTGACCTCTGCAGGCATTGCACGACACGAGTGCTCTTACCTACATGCAGGCAAAACACACATACACATAAAATAAAAATAATAAATTTAAAAAAATTAAAATAAAAGGGTAGAAAGCGTGGCTGGGAATGGCCACTCCATTCCAGGAGCTTCTCAGCAGTTGGAGTACACGAGACACTTTGGGAAATTCTTCCATATACAACTAATGACCCCCTCTTTATCTGCTTATGAAATCAGTTTTATATATTCTCATCTGAAGCCATGCAGACCACTGTGACTCCAGGGAGATGTAATCAGGAGTCAGGAGTGGGGTGCAGATCCTGCAGGGCAGCAGCCGAAGCACACGCTTGAAGCGGCAACCAGGAAGTCCTAAGCCTTGGCTTGAGAAAGGCCATCCAGAGGCAGCTCCAGCCTACCGTCAGAAGTGCAGCTGCACAAGGAACCACACAGAGGAGGCTGAGTCCGTCCACACGTTTAGTCTACCTAGCGTCTTAGTGCAGGGACATGGGTTTGAGGCTGAACTGAGAACTTGTGTTTTCCCAGCAGTGTTTCATCGTTACGACTGGCCTATAAGGATCTCGAAATTCACATGAAGAAAGATGAGAAATCGAACCTCAGCGGCCAAAAGAAAGTGGAAGCCGAGAGGCTGGGCATGGGCTTGGGGAGCTGCAGGAGGTGAGTGCGTGGAGTCCCGGGTTCAGGTCAGTGTGCTTGAATGATCATGAGTGGTTGTGTTTTCTAACTGGGGCTGGGGCCATTTCAGCCGTGAAAGCATCTCCTTGGCCTTCTCCCTTCCTGACTGGTTTTGCTTCATTTTGGTATTAGGTATAATATGACAGGGCTAGGCCGGGGCTCACCTGGTAGAGTGATTGCCTAGCTTGTGGGAAGCACTGAATACATTCGGATAGACGCACACTTCAGGGTCATCCTGGGCCAGAATGTCTCAAAACAGAAACAATGAAGCCAAAATAATTGTGATGAAGCTGGATATAGTGGTGCTGCAGAGGTGGAGGTAGGAGGATCAGAAATTGCAAGGCCATCCTGGGCTTACGTAGCAAGTTCAAGGCCAGCCTGGGCCACATGAGACCCTGTCTCCAAAAAATATATGTGTGTATGTATGTGTATATGTGTGTGCGTGTGTGTGTCTACATATACATATACACATGTGTGTGTATCATAGCAAATGACATACATGTTTCTTGGAGAAAGGGAAATGGGCCTGAGTTTCCTTGAAGCCGTGCTCTGGAGTAGATGCTACGGACACACCCTCTGCATGTGGCGGCTGTCTTCCGTGACGTTTAGCCCTCAGAGAGATCTCCTGGTTTTCAAAGCTTACCGTTTTCCAGCCCTACTGATACGTATCTGTTCAGAACGTTCCTCTGTTTTGTTGAGACAAATTCCTCTTGGAACTGAGTGACATAATCTTTCTTGCTTCATCCTGTCCTCTCCAGTGGCATCTCGCATTCAGTGACATCAGACATGCAGACCATCGAGCAGGAGTCCCCCACGCTGGCGAAGCCAAGGAGGAAGTACCAGGAGGATCACGAGGACTCGTACTTCACATCTAGCTCCAGGTAGTCCTTTCAAAGCATCATCTGGGCAACGTTTGAAAAGCAGCACCCTCTTGGTGTGTTAGTGCCTGGCCCTAGGAACAAGCACAGATCGGTGCTCGACACTGCTTTAAAAGCTCTAGCTGGCGCCGAGTCCATGTGTGGGAATAAAAACTGGGGAAGCAGAACAAGTGGGCAGTGTTTGCTAACAGGAAAATGTTTGCTGATACAATCAGCAGCCGAGAACTAAAATGAGAGGTTGGAGGGACGTGCTTGTGCTAGGCTCCTGTACGTGTGAAGTGGAGACTGGCAAGGGCCTGCTGCCTGGTTAGAGCACGCCCAGAACGTCAGCAGCTTCCTTGTGTCAGAACACCTGCGTCTGGAAGCTCCTGGCAGGTTCACAGATGACGCAGTCCTTACCTGTGTGTATTCTTGCAAACCATGACTGTGCTCTGACAGGATCCCACAGTGCAGCCTGGCCCTGTCCTCTGTCTACTGTCCACTCAGGCAAGACATATGACTGGTGTAAGAATGACCGTAGGAAGGACAAGGGTCATGTTGAATCCACTCAGGTCCCCCACAATCTGGGGTCCCTCTGATACAACTGCAGATAGGTGCAGGAGTCAGATAGCCTGTGTTGAATTCTGGCTCTGCTGCGTAGGAACTATGTGACCTTGGTCACATTATTAAGCCTCTCCATGCCACAGGCTTCTTGTCTGTACTAAATTGCAGGGTCTATAAGGGGGAGACGAAGTACTGTCAGCAGGTAGTTAGCTGACGGTGAGCTGGTGGTGAGCTGATGGTCAGCTGACAGTCAACTGGCCGTGAGCTGATGGTCAGCTGACGGTGAGCTGATAGTGAACTGCAACTATAACCTAGAACTCAGCCAAGAGACAGGCGGCTCACTAGATGGTGAGTCAGGTGCCACATTAACCATTCCAAGGACCTGGTGAGACAGGACACATCTGTCAGTGACAGTGCTGCCAACGGCCACACAGGTTTCCTGGTTGCACAAAGCTGACAGACACGGATCTCATAGGAAGACACACATAAATTATGTTATCTAGAGTCAGGCTGTGAAATTACTGATTTTCCTATCGAAGTTCATAGATAAGGAATTGTATAAAGAACTCACTCCTTTCCTCCTAAATCAAAATTATTTTGAGTTCTAATATTTTAGAAAACATGAAGTTGGCATCTTCGTGGTCGTGTGTCAGCACAGGGACCATGGTTTCCTGCGTGCCCCTTTCCAACCTGCACAGGTATAGCCACGTCATGCCCTTTGTACAGGATAAGCAAATTTGTGATTTGATCTGGAAATCACATGTCAGGTCACTTAAGATATAGTTGTTTGGTTTGGTTTTTTTGGGACAGGGTCTCCCTGTAGCCACAGCTGGCCTGGAACTTGCTATATAGACTAGGCTGGCCTCAAACTCACAGATCCTCCTGCCTCTGTCTCCTGAGTGCTGGGACTAAAGGTGAACACCACAACGCCTGGCTTCAGGTACAGTTGTAATGAGAGCTGGGCTGGGGTCTGAGGAAATGTGCCTTCTCCCCAGCCTTGACAACTTCCCTGCTCATTAGCAGTGCCTCGGGCTGATGGTATACAAAGGGACAGAATCCATTTCATGGACAGCCAATTCTGCACTCAGTACGGTTGGGGAGAGGTGGGCTCCCAGGGAGGTCACCTGCTGGGTGGGAACTTTCCCATCCTCTCGGCCTCAGGTCATGTAGGAGCTTGTGCCCAACTTCATGTGTGCCTCGGGGCCTTCAGGAACCTCTTCTTAGTCAGAGGGGTCAGCCCCAAAGGCCTCCATGCCAGGGACCAGTTGTTCAGTCTGAAACCTGGGGGCACATGGTGTTTGGATGGAGAGCAGAGACATCTTGGTGCCGTGTGGATGGTGACCTGCAGGTCGTCTAGGGACAGAAACACCCCTCGAGTCCTCCTTGCCTGGTGGCCACTATTACAGAGCAGGGTGGGGAGCTGTGGCGCCGAAGGTGGAAAGAACAGACTCTGAGAGCCACAGAGCGCTCTTCCTGCTTCCAGGTTACTCACTAGCCATTAGGACTTGCGTATTATGAATTATGGAAGAGGGCTGTTTCCACCAAGACCAGAGGGGACACCTCCTTGTGCTTTGCTTTCTGTTGAGCTCCATTATCTCCAGAACATAAATGATGCATGACGTATGGAGTTCAGAGAGTGAAAGTGGAACGCTTTGCTGAGCCCCGTGGAGTCGGGGCGCCTTCGAGGAGGGTGTGTCTGTCTGTGGGTGGGACAGTGTGCTGCTCGGGGCTTTTGTCAGGGACTTCGAGAATGAGTTCAGAGGGGAGCGAGGGCCCAGTGGTAGGACCAGCTCAAAGGAAAGCTCATGGCCAACTAGGATGTAGGAATTCAAGCCTGTGATGTCTGTGAAGGTTAGCGATGGGGAAGGGCCTCCAGGACCGCTGGCCCGGCAGGCCTGGCTGGCATGTGGGTGTCCCCTGTGGGTTATAGATTATCTTCTCTGTTGGAGCACAGAGGACTCTGAATAGGTGAGTAGGGAGTAGGGAAGACCCTGTGTGGACTGGCCAGGCACCCCTACAGATGGCTTTCTCTCTTTCACAGTTTTAAGGACCCCAGTGCCCCTCCATTCCAGGATAAGCCTTTAGCTTATATGACTGAAGACTGTTAGCTCCTTGGAGTGCTGCTGAGTCTGCTTCTGTGCGTCAAAGTCTTGAAGAACTGGCAGTTCCAGCCCTCCCCCCAGTCCAGTGCTGGCACCTACTCGGTGCCCTCTAGGGCATGTCTGGCCTCCCCACTCTTCCCTCTGGCATCCTGACTGCTCAAAGTAGAGAGTTCTCAGCAGCCTCAGGCTGTTGTACAGAAAAACTCCACCTTTTCCCAGAAGCCCTCAGAGAGAGGGCAGTTGGCTGAGCACAGTTGCTAGAAATGCTTGGAAATGACAACCCGTCCGCTTCTGTTAATTGGCCGCATCTATTCACATGGCTGTCCTTCATCAACACATGACTGGGAAGTCAGGCCCCCATACCAGAATCGAGAGCCCCGACGGGTGAGCATCCTGAGGACTCCCCATCACTGTCCCCTCCTGTTCCCACAGGTTCTTTGATGACCCCATGGAGTTAAGAGGCAGCTCCTTTTCTAGCTGGGATGAGAGCGAGGATTCCTACTGGAAGAAGGACAGCAGCAGAGACACTGAGCCTGCCGTGAGAAGCACGGGCTCCGCAGACAGGTGGGAGCTGTGGGCTGGGACTCACGAGGGGAGCAGGTGTCTCTGGGCAGGTAACAGAAACAGGGAGAGAGGGCTAAAAACCCGTCATAGGACAAGCGCATGATGTCTGTTACAAGTACATCCTGTACTTGAACATGTCAGAATCAACTGTGGCTTTTAGGGAGCATTCATGAGGACTGCCTACCTGGGGATTCTGAGTACGTGGGTTGGGCTGCCTGGCTCACAAATGAATCACCTTCCCCCATTCGAAGATGCTATATGCAAACAATAAAAGTTTCTTTTTCTTGCCGGGCGTGGTGGCTTATGCCTTTAGTCCCAGCTCTCTGGAGGCAGAGGCAGGCAGATCTCCATGAGTTCAGGATGTGTTCCTGGTTATTAAACCCAAGGTCTGAAGAAATCTTGGCAGACACTCTTTATCTGTAACCCTTTTACACTTAATTTTACTAGTGTTTTATTTTTAATGTTTAACTTATTATTTGTTTTTGGTCTTTTTTTTTTTTTTTTTTTTGTTTTTTTTAATTTTTGTGAAGAACAAAGCAACAGAAAGAGAAGAGCTTGGGACTCATGACTTGTTTCTGTTAACA